AGATACGGGCTGATTCTCAAATTTAATTCAGTTATTTTGGTATCCATGTTGTTTGTTTCTGCTGTGACTGCCTGAACTAAAGATATAGCTCTGCGCCGCACTGCTAAAGGGCTCCACAGCGCCATCTGCCAGACTGGCGGTGCATAGGAAGCCCATTTTTCCTCCGTTTAAGGTAAAAATGTTTTGCTTTAAAAAAGAAATAAAAAAATCTATATTATATCAGGCAGCCAAGAATCATATTTTGCCAAAAGGATTTTTTTGTACACCCCCATGTCCATCTGCCTCAAGCCGCCTGCAGGTGGAGCCAAACCCAGCATGTTCCTCCTTTGATAGAACCGTTTCTACCTGGAGTGAACCGAGCATCTTCTATTGATTTTCTCTTTTATTGGAGCGCCAATAAACTCCCAGCTTCTAAGCCTGGAGTCGATGATTACAGGGATTGGTTCTAACCCAGGAATAAATAGTCTATCTGTAGTTGTCGGAAAAATCTGTTTATTCACGTCTGATAATTATGACTGCTGGTTATTATTTACATAGTCAAAACAAGGTGTTTCAGGCCGTGTTTCACACCTGCGTGGCTGTGAGGGGCATCAGGGGGCAGACTACTTCAGGTTTACTGCCTCCTTCTACTGTCTAACTGGTTTAATGAAGTGTATGTGGAGACCTTCACAGCTTTTTGCAGAAAAACCTCTTCCAGAGCAGAGGAGGCCCTTAATTAATAAAGGCTGTTGTAATGAAGAACACTGATCTTAATTTATTGGCAGCACTGTTGCCATGGTTATCTGGACATGTGCTGGGAGCCTTCCAGGTATTTATACAGATTCCTACTGGAGGAAGTCAGATTAACTACTTCCTGCATTTCCCTGGTGAGGAGACCAGTCATTTTACACGTCTTTCCTCATGATGTCATGAAACTGTGATAAAATAATTGGTGCTGCTGACTGTACCTTGGCAGAGAGGACAACCTGCACACAGTCTCCTGCTTCAAAGGATTACAGGACAGACGGAGTATCTTCAGCATCTGCAGGACTCCCTCAGGCCTTCAGAGAAGAAGCCTGAGTTAGTTTCCCAGAGGAGCAATAAACCAGATTACAGACTCAATGGAAGACAGGAATCTCACCGCTGCAGCTCCGTTATGTTGTTATTTTCTACTGACAGCTCCTCCAACTGAGGCCACATGGGGGCGCATTCCAGGATCTGACAACAGAGAAACGTCTATGAGGATGTGGAGGAAGGTTTCTACCAACAGTTAGGCTGTTTACAACCAGCTAAGGTTTCTACATCTAGGTCAACTTTTCAATTATAAATGCGTAAAGGTTTTTTTATTGACATGAAAAATCACCTTTTAACTTGAAACATTCTTCCCTTATCAACACAATTCAATTCAGTTTATTTATATAGCACCAGTTCATAACACATGTCATCTCAAGGCACTTTATAGTTCACCAGATCATCCAGTCAGATTGATTTAAAGTTTTATATCTAAGGATAAACAGTTGATTGCATCGACTCATTGACTCTTCAGCAATCCCTCACACTAAGCATGCTTGTAGTGACAGTGGAGAGGAAAAACTCCCTTTAACAGGAAGAAACCTCCAGCAGAACCAGGCTCAGTGTGAGCGGCCATCTGCTGAGGCCCACTGGGGTTCAAAGAGACAGAAGCAGACATAGAAAAAGAAGCTATAAAAGACAGCCCCGCCCAGGAAACACACAGCCAGAACTACAATCACAGGCCAAACTAATTGAATGTAATCCAATCTGATGATACTTTAGGTTGTCTGAGGTCTAATTCTTTTACTCTGGAAATAATCCAGAAATCTACAATGAGCAATAGGAGTAACAACCCTCATCTATAGTGTGGATAACATCCCAAGTTAGTATTGTATCCTGATACAGAGTTGGAGCATTTTCTACTTTACGGATTGTTGATATTTTTGACAAACCAAACAAGGACTCTCTGAGACCCAGTAGAAGGAGCTGGTCTGACTGGCTGTGTGTTTCCTGGACGGGGCTGCCTGTGGAGCTGGTATATACTGTATATAACCCATGCACCTTTTCCTCCTCTTGGTACCTTCTTCTTTTTGACTATTGAGCCGATTTAACAAGTAAATTTCTCCAATGTGAGATCAGTAAAGTCAATAAATCAAATCAATCGATCACCACCCAAAATGCGACGTATTCCCAAAGTTATGGCAATAAAACTCAGTCTGGGTTTAAGGGTAGCTGCTGCATTACAGAAAGGTGGGATGAGTTGGCTCACTTTTTGCCCAACAATGATGCAAGGGTGATTTAATGTTTGTTATCTTGGTCTGATGTTAAACCAGGTGAGAGTGCGGTGGAAATGTAAAGGCCCTCACCTCCAACCAGGTGATGCTGCAGCTGTTGAGAGCCAGGACCTTCAGGCTGCGGAAAGCCTGCTGGTGAGCCCAGGGGTCGGAGGTCAGACTAAGTCTGTTGTCACTAGCAGAAATAAAAATGCTGATCAGTTAAAACCAATAAAAGCATAATGAGGCCTGTCAGAGGAGGGTATACCAGAGCTCCAGTCCTCTCAGCTGCTCCAGTTGTTCAGTAATGGCAGCCACATCTTCCCATTTGGACAATAGAGACCGACTGAGGTCCAACCACTTCACGTCTGATCTCTGGGGTTAAGGCAGGTCAACTCCCACCAATAGAAAGCTGAACCAGGTCCTGGATCAGGGCTAGTCAAAGCTGAACATAATCCCTCACCATCTCCACTGCATTCTTCATCATTGCTCTTTTAAAAAGGATTTTTCATATGATCCTTTGATATTACCATCCAGTGTGACTTTAACACTGGATGTAAACAGATCTGTAGATTACAGGAAGACATGAACATGAAATGATGCAACATAGCAAAGGATTAAATAAAGAGTAAAAGTCATAATGAAGACAAATATAGAGCTGAAGAATCAAAGAGTCAAATAGTCTGCATGAGTTTGTTGTCAGGATTCTTCAGGACATTTGAAGAGAGAATAGATCAAATCCATTCAGTGTATTCATACAGAATCAATTTATGTCTTTAAAACACATTGCTTCAATCCGATCATCCTGTCAGACTCAAAATTCAAAGCTTCTGTCTAAGGAAACCAGATTAGATTATCTTCAAACAATTTATTCAGGCAGAAACAGAGCCCCTTGTGAGCCGCCACAGTGCAGGATACTGGGTGTTGTTCTCCTGATTTCTCCAGCCTCCCCCGCTCCATTCACTTCACAGTGGTTCAGCAGAACGGACGAAAGAGTTGCAAACCTGAAATGACAAACCCAGAGATGGTAGAGAGGAACAGGGTCGCTGCTCGAGCAGAAGATGGTGTTTGTAACAATGAGCCTTTGTTACCTGTATATCAGCTAAAATAACATTTAAACACAGCACCTGGTTTGGTAGACTGGCTTATTTTTGTTGTTTTGGGTGCAGTGGATTTGTTTGCGGTGTGGTTTCTTTTGTAGGCCACATCTTGTTTTTATTGTTGGAAAAAGGTAAATTGATTTCACTTTACAATATTTAGTTTTTGTTTAACTCTTCCTAAAAGAGAAACAGATGAATTGAAGAATTAAAATATCAAAATTCATTGTGCTGCTCGCCTGCTGTTTCACTCTGCAGGTGTAAACAGATCTGCACCATTGGAGAATTGAAGGGGGAATTCGATCTCATTTATAGTGTTTTCAATATTATGTTTTCAATATTTGTTTGGGTTAAATTTAAATATTTGCTGTATGAATTTATTGGTAAAAGTATTTCTTAATTAGCTGTTCATTTAAAACCATCTTTTCTTTTTATTTTGCCACTACACATCATTTTAAAAATGGTTTCTTCTAATTTAGTTCTAACTCTAAATAAGAAACATGTCTGCCATTGTTCTTGGTTGTTGGTTTGGTTGATGTGCTGCACCAGATAAAATTGAAGACTTGTTGGCTGAAAACTCTTTGGAGCGGTTTTGGGTCCCACCTCCAAGACTGCTTGGAGCATGGGGGAAAAGGAGCAGACCTCTGGGGGTCAGTGCTAGAGCGTGGGGGAAAAGGAGCAGACCTCTGGGGGTCAGTGCTAGAGCGTGGGGGAAAAGGAGCAGACCTCTGGGGGTCAGCGTTAGAGCGTGGGGGAAAAGGAGCAAACCTCTGGGGGGTCAACGTTAGAGCGTGGGGGAAAAGGAGCAGACCTCTGGGGTCAACGTTAGAGCGTGGGGGAAAAGGAGCAGACCTCTGGGGGTCAGCGTTAGAGCGTGGGGGGAAAGGAGAAGACCTCTGGGGGTCAGCGTTAGAGCGTGGGGGAAAAGAAGCAGACCTCTGGGGGTCAGCTTTAGAGCGTGGGGGAAAAGGAGCAGACCTCTGGGGGTCAGCGCTAGAGCGTGGGGGGAAAAGGAGCAGACCTCTGGGGGTCAGCGTTAGAGCGTGGGGGAAAAGGAGCAGACCTCTGGGGGTCAACGTTAGAGCGTGGGGGAAAAGGAGCAGACCTCTGGGGTCAACGTTAGAGCGTGGGGGAAAAGGAGCAGACCTCTGGGGGTCAGCGTTAGAGCGTGGGGGAAAAGGAGCAGACCTCTGGGGGTCAGCGTTAGAGCGTGGGGGAAAAGGAGCAGACCTCTGGGGGTCAACGTTAGAGCGTGGGGGAAAAGGAGCAAACCTCTGGGGGTCAACGTTACAGCGTGGGGGAAAAGGAGCAGGCCTCTGGGGGTCAGTGTTAGAGCGTGGGGGAAAAGGAGCAGACCTCTGGGGGTCAGCGTTACAGCATGGGGGAAAAGGAGCAAACCTCTGGGGGTCAGCGTTAGAGCGTGGGGGAAAAGAAGCAGACCTCTGGGGGTCAGCGTTAGAGCGTGGGGGAAAAGGAGCAGACCTCTGGGGGTCAGCGCTAGAGCGTGGGGGAAAAGGAGCAGACCTCTGGGGGTCAGCGTTAGAGCGTGGGGGAAAAGGAGCAGACCTCTGGGGGTCAGCGTTAGAGCGTGGGGGAAAAGGAGCAGACCTCTAGGGGTCAACATTAGAGCGTGGGGGAAAAGGAGCAGACCTCTGGGGGTCAGTGTTAGAGCGTGGGGGAAAAGGAGCAGACCTCTGGGGGTCAGCGTTACAGCATGGGGGAAAAGGAGCAAACCTCTGGGGGTCAGCGTTAGAGCGTGGGGGAAAAGTGGCAGACCTCTGGGGGTCAGCGTTAGAGCGTGGGGGAAAAGGAGCAGACCTCTCTACACATCATTTTAAAAATGGTTTCTTCTAATTTAGTTCTAACTCTAAATAAGAAACATGTCTGCCATTGTTCTTGGTTGTTGGTTTGGTTGATGTGCTGCACCAGATAAAATTGAAGACTTGTTGGCTGAAAACTCTTTGGAGCGGTTTTGGGTCCCACCTCCAAGACTGCTTGGAGCATGGGGGAAAAGGAGCAGACCTCTGGGGGTCAGCGTTAGAGCGTGGGGGAAAAGGAGCAGACCTCTGGGGGTCAACGTTAGAGCGTGGGGGAAAAGGAGCAAACCTCTGGGGGTCAGCGTTAGAGCGTGGGGGAAAAGAAGCAGACCTCTGGGGGTCAGCTTTAGAGCGTGGGGGAAAAGGAGCAGACCTCTGGGGGTCAGCGCTAGAGCGTGGGGGAAAAGGAGCAGACCTCTGGGGGTCAGCGTTAGAGCGTGGGGGAAAAGGAGCAGACCTCTGGGGGTCAACGTTAGAGCGTGGGGGAAAAGGAGCAAACCTCTGGGGGTCAGCGTTAGAGCGTGGGGGAAAAGAAGCAGACCTCTGGGGGTCAGCGTTAGAGCGTGGGGGAAAAGAAGCAGACCTCTGGGGGTCAGCTTTAGAGCGTGGGGGAAAAGGAGCAGACCTCTGGGGGTCAGCGCTAGAGCGTGGGGGAAAAGGAGCAGACCTCTGGGGGTCAGCGTTAGAGCGTGGGGGAAAAGGAGCAGACCTCTGGGGGTCAACGTTAGAGCGTGGGGGAAAAGGAGCAGACCTCTGGGGTCAACGTTAGAGCGTGGGGGAAAAGGAGCAGACCTCTGGGGGTCAGCGTTAGAGCGTGGGGGAAAAGGAGCAGACCTCTGGGGGTCAGCGTTAGAGCGTGGGGGAAAAGGAGCAGACCTCTGGGGGTCAACGCTAGAGCGTGGGGGAAAAGGAGCAAACCTCTGGGGGTCAACGTTACAGCGTGGGGGAAAAGGAGCAGACCTCTGGGGGTCAGTGTTAGAGCGTGGGGGAAAAGGAGCAGACCTCTGGGGGTCAGCGTTACAGCATGGGGGAAAAGGAGCAAACCTCTGGGGGTCAGTGTTAGAGCGTGGGGGAAAAGAAGCAGACCTCTGGGGGTCAGCGTTAGAGCGTGGGGGAAAAGGAGCAGACCTCTGGGGGTCAGCGCTAGAGCGTGGGGGGAAAAGGAGCAGACCTCTGGGGGTCAGCGTTAGAGCGTGGGGGAAAAGGAGCAGACCTCTGGGGGTCAGCGTTAGAGCGTGGGGGAAAAGGAGCAGACCTCTAGGGGTCAACGTTAGAGCGTGGGGGAAAAGGAGCAGACCTCTGGGGGTCAGCGTTACAGCATGGGGGAAAAGGAGCAGACCTCTGGGGGTCAGTGTTAGAGCGTGGGGGAAAAGGAGCAGACCTCTGGGGGTCAGCGTTACAGCATGGGGGAAAAGGAGCAAACCTCTGGGGGTCAGCGTTAGAGCGTGGGGGAAAAGTGGCAGACCTCTGGGGGTCAGTGTTAGAGCGTGGGGGAAAAGGAGCAGACCTCTGGGGGTCAGCGTTAGAGCGTGGGGGAAATGGAGCAGACCTCTGGGGGTCAGCGTTAGAGCGTGGGGGAAAAGGAGCAGACCTCTCTACACATCATTTTAAAAATGGTTTCTTCTAATTTAGTTCTAACTCTAAATAAGAAACATGTCTGCCATTGTTCTTGGTTGTTGGTTTGGTTGATGTGCTGCACCAGATAAAATTGAAGACTTGTTGGCTGAAAACTCTTTGGAGCGGTTTTGGGTCCCACCTCCAAGACTGCTTGGAGCATGGGGGAAAAGGAGCAGACCTCTGGGGGTCAGCGTTAGAGCGTGGGGGAAAAGGAGCAGACCTCTGGGGGTCAGCGTTAGAGCGTGGGGGAAAAGGAGCAGACCTCTGGGGGTCAGCGCTAGAGCGTGGGGGAAAAGGAGCAGACCTCTGGGGGTCAGCGTTAGAGCGTGGGGGAAAAGGAGCAGACCTCTGGGGGTCAACGTTAGAGTGTGGGGGAAAAGGAGCAAACCTCTGGGGGTCAGCGTTAGAGCGTGGGGGAAAACGAGCAGACCTCTGGGGGTCAACGTTACAGCGTGGGGGAAAAGGAGCAGACCTCTGGGGGTCAGCGTTAGAGCGTGGGGGAAAAGGAGCAGACCTCTGGGGGTCAACGTTAGAGCGTGGGGGAAAAGGAGCAGACCTCTGGGGGTCAACGTTAGAGCGTGGGGGAAAAGGAGCAAACCTCTGGGGGTCAACGTTACAGCGTGGGGGAAAAGGAGCAGACCTCTGGGGGTCAGCGTTAGAGCGTGGGGGAAAAGGAGCAGACCTCTGGGGGTCAGCGTTAGAGCGTGGGGGAAACGGAGCAGACCTCTGGGGGTCAGCGTTAGAGCGTGGGGGAAACGGAGCAGACCTCTGGGGGTCAGCGTTAGAGCGTGGGGGAAAAGGAGCAGACCTCTGGGGGTCAGCGTTAGAGCGTGGGGGTAAAGGAGCAGACTTCTGGTGGTCAGCATAAGAGCGTGGGTGAAACGGAGCAGACCTCTGGGGGTCAGCGTTAGAGCATTAAACAGAACAACTGTTCTGTATTCCAGTTCTGTATTAAAACATGTTCATAAACAAACCAAACAACAGTTTGAACACTGACTTCTATGGACACGTACAATAAAATGTGCAGAGGTGTGGGCAAACAGGTCCTCATTTAAACAGGAGTTTTGTGAAAATGGTGAACTGATCACAGTGAAGATAAAGTTACAGTACCTCCGCTCCTGAACATCAGACCATTCCAGTTTTTTAGAGGAAATGGGGATCTCCTCCTTCAACACATCCTCCATGTTAAACTCATAGGTCTGAGAAACAGCAGTCAAGAAGTCCACTCCAAAGCTGACTTTCACTGGACGGACAAACGAGCCTCCTGTGGGATTTCTGAAACAAGAAGGCACAAACACCAATTTACAACACATGTCATCTTAGTGCAGCTTCCAGAGAAGATTCATACAGATCAGCCAGACAGGTTCCTTCATAGTTTCCTATCCAAGCCTTATACAGCTCATTGCATTCAGTCACCATTTTTCTTACCTCCTGTAAGAGCCTGCAGACAGCAGACCATTCAGCCTAAAGGAATCTTATCATCACTGTAAGGGACCCAAGACAATTACAAAATGTTGCTTTTAAACTGAATAACGGTTTAACATATCTGTTGCTATGCAGCCAGTAAATGAGCAATTCAGCAGCATCACAGCTGCCCAGGATGCTGAAAGAGACCTGTTAGTAAGAAGCACGTGTTCATTTACTGCGCTTAGACTGATCTGGGATTAGCTTCTAGTTCAAAAGGCTGCCCCTTGTTGACAGAACATCTTTATAACAGGGACAAAGTAAAATAGGAGATTTTGAATCAGATGGACAAGCTGAAGACTTTTAGATGTTCTGAAATGGGATATATTTCCTAAGTCACCATATCTCACAGCTATATCATAAGCTAGCCCCCATGATAGCTCGCCTCAGGCTGCCGGCTGCTTGGTAGCTGCTTAATGCTAGCCTCCATGATAGCTCTCCTCAGGCTGCCGGCTGCTTGTTAGCTGCTAAAATGCTAGCCTTCATGATAGCTCGCCTCAGGCTGCCGGCTGTTTGTTAGCTGCTTAATGCTAGCCTCCATGATAGCTCTCCTCAGGCTGCCGGCTGTTTGTTAGCTGCTTAATGCTAGCCTTCATGATAGCTCGCCTCAGGCTGCCGGCTGTTTGTTAGCTGCTTAATGCTAGCCTCCATGATAGCTCTCCTCAGGCTGCCGGTTGCTTGTTAGCTGCTTAATGCTAGCCTCCATGATAGCTCTCCTCAGGTTGCCGGCTGCTTGTTAGCTGCTAAAATGCTAGCCTCCATCATAGCTCGCCTCAGGCTGCCGGCTGCTTGTTAGCTGCTTAATGCTAGCCTCCATGATAGCTCGCCTCACCCTGCAGGCTGCTTGGTAGCTGCTTAATGCTAGCCTCAGGCTGCCGGATGCTTGTTAGCTGCTTAATGCCAGACTCCATGATAGCCCGCCTCAGGCTGCCGGATGCTTGTTAGCTGCTTAATGCTAGCCTCCATGGTAGCTCGCCTCACCCTGCAGGCTGCTTGGTAGCTGCTTAATGCTAGCCTCCATGATAGCTCTCCTCAGGCTGCCGGCTGCTTGTTAGCTGCTAAAATGCTAGCCTCCATCATAGCTCGCCTCAGGCTGCCGGCTGCTTGTTAGCTGCTTAATGCTAGCCTCCATGATAGCTCGCCTCAGGCTGCCGGCTGCTTGTTAGGTGCTTAATGCTAGCTTCCATGATAGCTCGCCTCACCCTGCAGGCTGCTTGGTAGCTGCTTAATGCTAGCCTCAGGCTGCCGGATGCTTGTTAGCTGCTTAATGCTAGCCTCCATGATAGCCCGCCTCAGGCTGCCGGATGCTTGTTAACTGCTTAATGCTAGCCTCAATGATAGCCCGCCTCAGGCTGCCGGCTGCTTGGTAGCTGCTTAATGCTAGCCTCCATGATAGCCCGCCTCAGGCTGCCGGATGCTTGTTAACTGCTTAATGCTAGCCTCAATGATAGCTCGCCTCAGGCTGCCGGCTGCTTGGTAGCTGCTTAATGCTAGCCTCCATGATAGCTCTCCTCAGGCTGCCGGCTGCTTGGTAGCTGCTTAATGCTAGCCTCCATGATAGCTCTCCTCAGGCTGCCGGCTGCTTGTTAGCTGCTAAAATGCTAGCCTCCATCATAGCTAGCCTCAGGCTGCCGGCTGCTTGTTAGCTGCTTAATGCTAGCCTCCATGATAGCTCGCCTCAGGCTGCCGGCTGCTTGTTAGCTGCTTAATGCTAGCCTCCATGATAGCTCTCCTCAGGCTGCCGGCTGCTTGTTAGCTGCTTAATGCTAGCCTCCATGATAGCTCGCCTCACCCTGCAGGCTGCTTGGTAGCTGCTTAAAGGAGAAGTTCACTTTTTAATACTTTAAGCCCATTTTCTGTAGTGTCCAGGATGAAATCGAATGATCGACACCAAAATTTTGACAATTGGACCTGTCTCTGCTTTTTGGCTCATTTAGAATCACGCCCTGGCTGCTTTAGAATGGCTTCCATAGAGCATGTCCGATAATGTCCTTAAAACAACCTTAAACTTTCTTTTTTTAAAATATGCTACTCACCGGGTCGTCAGCGCTGTTCAATGACGTTCCAAAAAAGTTTCGTGTAGAAACGTTCCTGTAGTGTTTTATTTAGCATTTTGTAAATCCCATTGAGTTCTGTTGGAATAGTCAATATCCCGCTGCCACCGGAAACGGAAATGGGGCCTGTTTACACAGTTGTAGTCTTTTCGCTTCACTCTGTGTACTCCGACGTCGAGGTGCTAACGTCTCTGTTAAACACTTTAAAAAACTCTGAAAATGGAATACGAAAGGTGGATTCTTGATTCTCGACGTCGGAGTACGCAGAGTGAAGCGAAAAGACTACAACTGTGTAAACAGGCCCCATTTCCGTTTCCGGTGGCAGGGGAATATTGACTATTCCAACAGAACTCAATGGGATTTACAAAATGCTAAATAAAACACTACAGGAACGTTTTTTCTTTACGAAACTTTTTTTGGAACATCATTGAACAGCGCTGACGACCCGGTGAGTAGCATATTTTAAAAAAAGAACGTTTAAGGTTGTTTTAAGGACATTATCGGACATGCTCTATGGAAGCCATTCTAAAGCAGCCAGGGGGGGATTCTGCATGAGCCAAAAAGCAGAGACAGGACCAATTGTCAAAATTTTGGTGTCGATCATTCGATTTCATCCTGGACACTACAGAAAATGGGCTAAAAGTGTTAAAAAGGGAACTTCTCCTTTAATGCTAGCCTCAGGCTGCCGGATGCTTGTTAGCTGCTTAATGCTAGCCTCCATGATAGCCCGCCTCAGGCTGCCGGATGCTTGTTAGCTGCTTAATGCTAGCCTCCATGATAGCTCGCCTCACCCTGCAGGCTGCTTGGTAGCTGCTTAATGCTAGCCTCAGGCTGCCGGATGCTTGTTAGCTGCTTAATGCTAGCCTCCATGATAGCTCGCCTCAGGCTGCCGGCTGCTTGGTAGCTGCTTAATGCTAGCCTCCATGATAGCTCTCCTCAGGCTGCCGGCTGCTTGTTAGGTGCTTAATGCTAGCCTCCATGATAGCTCTCCTCAGGCTGCTTGTTAGCTGCTAAAATGCTAGCCTCCATCATAGCTCGCCTCAGGCTGCCGGCTGCTTGTTAGCTGCTTAATGCTAGCCTCCATGATAGCTCGCCTCAGGCTTCCGGCTGCTTGTTAGCTGCTTAATGCTAGCCTCCATGATAGCTCGCCTCACCCTGCAGGCTGCTTCGTAGCTGCTTAATGCTAGCCTCCATGATAGCTCTCCTCAGGCTGCCGGCTGCTTGTTAGGTGCTTAATGCTAGCCTCCATGATAGCTCTCCTCAGGCTGCTTGTTAGCTGCTAAAATGCTAGCCTCCATGATAGCTCGCCTCAGGCTGCCGGCTGCTTGGTAGCTGCTTAATGCTAGCCTCCATGATAGCTCTCCTCAGGCTGCCGGCTGCTTGTTAGGTGCTTAATGCTAGCCTCCATCATAGCTCGCCTCAGGCTGCCGGCTGCTTGTTAGCTGCTAAAATGCTAGCCTCCATGATAGCTCGCCTCAGGCTGCCGGCTGCTTGGTAGCTGCTTAATGCTAGCCTCCATGATAGCTCTCCTCAGGCTGCCGGCTGCTTGTTAGGTGCTTAATGCTAGCCTCCATGATAGCTCTCCTCAGGCTGCTTGTTAGCTGCTAAAATGCTAGCCTCCATCATAGCTCGCCTCAGGCTGCCGGCTGCTTGTTAGCTGCTTAATGCTAGCCTCCATGATAGCTCGCCTCAGGCTTCCGGCTGCTTGTTAGCTGCTTAATGCTAGCCTCCATGATAGCTTTCCTCAGGCTGCCGGCTGCTTGTTAGCTGCTTAATGCTAGCCTCCATGATAGCTCGCCTCACCCTGCAGGCTGCTTGGTAGCTGCTTAATGCTAGCCTCAGGCTGCCGGATGCTTGTTAGCTGCTTAATGCTAGCCTCCATGATAGCCCGCCTCAGGCTGCCGGCTGTTTGTTAGCTGCTTAATGCTAGCCTCCATGATAGCTCTCCTCAGGCTGCCGGCTGCTTGTTAGCTGCTTAATGCTAGCCCCCATGATAGCTCTCCTCCGGCTGCTTGTTAGCTGCTTAATGCTAGCCTCCATGATAGCTCACCTCAGCCTGCAGGCTGCTTGGTAGCTGCTCAATGCTAGCCTCCATGATAGCTCACCTCAGCCTGCAGGCTGCTTGGTAGCTGCTCAATGCTAGCCTCCATGATAGCTCACCTCAGCCTGCAGGCTGCTTGGTAGCTGTTGAATACTAGCCTCCATGATAGTTTGCCTCAGGCAGTCGGGTGCTTGTTAGCTGCTTAATGCTAGCCTCCATAATAGCTCACCTCAGCCTGCAGGCTGCTTGGTAGCTGTTGAATACTAGCCTCCATGATAGTTTGCCTCAGGCAGTCGGGTGCTTGTTAGCTGCTTAATGCTAGCCTCCATGACATCTTGCCTCAGGCAGCTGGCTGCTTGTTAGCTGCTTAATGCTACCGTCCGTGATAGCTCGCCTCAGGCTGTTCGCTGCCCGTTATTCTTACTGCTAGCTTCTCTGATAGCTAGCCTTAGGCTGCTGGCTGGTTTTTAGCTGTTTAAGGCTAGCTTCTCTTATAGCTCGCCTCAGGCTGCAGGTTAGCTGCTTAAAGCTAGCCACCGTGATAACTCTCCTCAGGCTCCTGGCTGATTGTTAGCTGCTTAATGCTAGCTTCTCTGATAGCTTGTCTCAGGCTGCCGGTTAGCTGCTTAGAGTCGTGAGGAAACCACTGTTCCAACTAAGGGTGTGCAAAATAATCGTCATGACGATGCATCACGATTCTAATTTTTGTGATCTACTGCATTGATTCTTGAAGGCAAGAATTGATTATAAAAAAAAAAAAAAATGGACAAATAAAATACATTAATGGTTGGCGCACATCAGCCAAACCAAGTGGAATACAACTTCCAGTTCAGCAGATGTCGCTGCGGATGTGTTAACGCCCGCTGCCTTGTGTGTCACAAGCATTTCCGGCCGTGGGATACTGCGAGGAGTCATATGAAATAAAACATGGAGGACACTATGAAAATTCGCCCCGCAGCTTCATCACATTTCAAGTCAGATGCTTGGATGCATTTTGGCTTTAAAAACAAAGAAGGTAAAAACGAAATTGATATGATGCACATAATTTGCAAACGGGGAAATATACATTAGAATGTTTTCGTTTTATTGGTTTAAAGGACCACTGAGGCCGTGTAAACGGCACTGATTATCCTTACTTTGTTATTTTAAGTTTGATGAATCCTAAGATCTTTTTGTCAGTGTGTCCACGCCAGTAATAGTAATATTTCTGTCCAGTATTTGTTTAATGGCAACACCTCCAAAAGTTGTTTCAGTAAATACAGCTATGTATGAATTCAGTTGCTTTCATTTATGTATCAATTGAAGACACGATCCAGATCACACCCAGCCAGTCAGCCACTGGTAAGGGCTGGATCTTTTTCCTACAGTGTTCAGTGAAAATATCTCAATGCATCGCAATATTTCAAGTATCATGATGCATCGTGATAGAATCGCATCGTCACTTCTTTGCCAATACCCACCCCTAGTTTCAACGTTGCATTTCCGAATTCTCCCGAGTGGTGCCCGACTTTACATGAGTGAATAAAATGAATGTTATTGGTCATTTATCAACGGTGGGATTATTGTGGCGGAAGGTTCGCAAGCAAGTTTGGTTGTGGCCGGTTTGTCGGAAGCATCTTTCTAACCAGTTAGCTGCTTAGTGCTAGCAGGTTCCCAATGGGAAATTCCATTGGGACCAAGTAGCACTAAATTGGTGACTTAGAAACGACGCTGTCAAGGAACGCTATGGACAGAGGAAACATGCAAGAGGAGGAGAGTTTAGTGTCGGAGGTCGTGGATGAGTCTCCTCCGTCATCCATTTGTTATTTAGAGGAGGAAAGCGGGGACGAAGATGTTGTGGAAGAGGACGCCAGGGCGGCAGAAGCTTGGTTTGGTGTAGAAGGCTTCCAGCCGTACATGTTTGAGCCCTTGCCTCGCAACGTTGCCAGTTCTGTTAGCTCTACGCCTGCTGAAGACACAGACGTCCATCCCCGTGAACACTGGGACGCAACTCAATGGGAAAGGAAAGGATTCTGATTTCAACCGTTGTGTATATTAGCTGCGACATATGAATCAAGATGCTATGACTGAAAATATGTGATTGACAGATGAGCGTTGATATATGAATTTAGGTGTTCAGACTGACGTATAACTAACTGGCCTCCATAAAATCATGAACACATTTTTGGGACAATATAGTCTGATAAAGAGTACATTTATATACATTTTTAAGCCAGAATGATTTGACATTTAAATATGATTTCCCCCACGACTTTAAAGCTAGAGGAGCTGACTGAGCCAGCCAACCAACCAACAATCTGACCTGGATGGATGTGAATACTTTTTGCAATATGGTGATTAAGCATTCAGACCAATTATTCAGCATTTAAAGTCCCAGAGCCACATACCGGCTGGTAAAATATCGCCGTCCTTTATGACTGCCGTCGTGTTTTCCTCTTTCCGGGTTATCCCACTCCAGCCCAAGCCACAGACCTAGAAACATAGATCAGGTAATGAGTTTAACTGGATCCAATCTAATCTGCTACATCTGCAACTGTAACCAGAAGATAAAATGGTTCACAAGAAAAAGCTTAAAAAAGGCCAAAATTATAAAGGAAATAATAAAAAAACAAACATCAACACATGTTACAGTTCATCTGCGGCCATTTTTATGTAAATGGTAGAGCTCTTTACAAAGCATTTATTCATTCAGTCACACACTGATAGTGGTGAGCTACACTGTAGCCACAGCTGTCCTGGGACTCACCCACAGAAACTAGGCTGCTGCATGCAGGGGCCCTGGGCCCTCTGACTACCATGAATAGGCAGCACTGTGATTATAACTGAAGGACAACATCTGTCAACCACACTAAAACATTTCTACATCAGAAGATGCAGTAAAAACCACCTCAAACACCATAGAAGAAAAAAAGATTTCTTCTGGTGCCCCAAAATCTCAGTAAAACTGAATTTGATTTATATGTTATATCCACATGGGGTGGTCAGTGGCTGACATGTTCCTGTGGGGAGCTGGTTCTGGCTCCCCACAGGAACATGTCAGCAGGAGATGGCTTTGCTCCAACAGCCGTAGGGACACTGTTAGGATGATGCTTTCCGGTGCATTTAGCTAGGACTGAAACTATTCATTAATTAAACCGATGCATGGAGCCCATAGAGCTAAACAATGCATCGGTGCGTGTGTTGTTTCCAGAAAGTCATGTGACCGTTCCAGAAGTCGTTTCTAACTGACTGACTCACTGGGTTTAACATATCTGTCAACATGATGCATCTGCTAAAAAAAATATCTTATCTTTGCGGTTTATCATTAAAATGATCCAGAATTTTGGAGCAGCCTAAAAGGAATAGGAACGTTTCAGCTGTTTTTATATTCTCATTGTGTCATCCTTTTCCTCTCAGTTATAACTCAACTTATCTGAATTAAAGTTCATCTCAAATTGACTCTTATTTTATTTCCTGTTTTTAATGTACTTGTTTTAAAATTATTATTTTACATCCTAGTCCACCTGTGTCATTCACATTTTCCCCTAAATTTTCCCATTTTGATATATGTTTACATTATTTATTGGCTGCATCTAAAAATATCAAATATATTTTCAATTTAAACATAGAAATGAAATAATACAATATAACTTAAATGGTATCATTGTTCTAGGTCATCAAATGCATTCACTTTTGGTCAATCAGCTGCCTGTAGTGGCGTTAAATGTCCAGCAGGTGTCAGTATTCTGTAGGACAGTATCAACTCAGCATCAATGCAGTTTGGCTTCAAGATGCTTCATTAACCATCACTACTCACCATGAATCTGATTGATGAAATAATCATCAACTAATTTAGTAATCCATTAATCATTAACTGGAGTATAGAGAAGAACCTGCCTTTAGCTGACAGAGTGACCCACTTAGAGCAGGAATCATACCAAGGTTGTAAAAGTAATGAAGATAAAAACAAATCTTTTGGTGTGTCAATCTGCTCTATCCAGAACTCCTTCAATCGGAAAAGTTCAATTGCTTTAATTCTTCTTTAAGGAAGCTTTTGCTATCCGATTAATAGAAAATGTATCGACTGGTGAATCAATATGCAAAAAAAGACTTAGTTGCATCCCTACATTTAGCAGAATTCAGTCTAATTGGTTTATACTAAATAATTAGTTTATATTTAAGGGTTTCCACCACAGAGCCTCTGCAGTTGTGCGCCTCTGGGCAAATAAGCATCTGGTCGCTTTGTTTCTTCCTCCCAGTGAACCAGCCTGAACCGAAACATGGCTCCACCTCATTACAGTGCAGTAAAACCAACCGTTGAGAACATCTTACCTTCAAACGGTTCCACTGGGCCAACATAGCGAACCGTGGCGCGGTCCCCCCCGCAGGACACGCTCCTACCCACAGGCTCCACTGGCAGCTCACCCCGGCCAGTCGCCATGATGCTGCCGGAGAAAAGAGGATCACTGGAGAACCATCAGACCAAGATGGCAACCAGTCAATAAATACCTTCACTCACTTAAAGCAGCGACATTTTAAAATCTAGTCAAAACAAACCGTCTGAGTGAGCGAAGCGTTTTCTTCTCATGAACATTTGCAGTTGGAAGGAGCATTACCGCCACCTACTGACCAGGAGTGGAATGGATAGATAGATAGATAGATAGATAGATAGATAGATAGATAGATAGATAGATAGATAGATAGATAGATAGATAGATAGATAGATAGATAGATAGATAGATAGATAGATAGATAGATAGATGTTAAGTTAAGAAGGGGAAACTGTCTCTGATACCATACCCACCATGTTAGACAGGGGAACAAATAATAAAGAAGGAAAATGAGAGAAAGACAGTAAAACAATGGGAAATAGATACCCATTGCTGCAGATGGTTTTATAGGATTCAATGAAGAAAGGGGAAGTGAGGAGGAAGGCTGAAAGGAACAGGAGAGAAGAAATTGTTTGAATCGGATTAAATAACACTTTATTGATAACAGGGAGAAACAACACTGCTAAATGTGATTACTGCATTAAAGATGAAACCGACTTGTTATATTTTCGGAAAAATAGTGTTGAAAAGACTCAACTGTAAGCAATCCATCTAAAATGAAAGCTAGATTGCATATTCTTGGAATTATTACAGCGAAATTCATTATCTCATAGTTCTCAAATGTTTATAGATTTTCTTACAATAACTAATTTGTTTCAGTTCACACTCCAAACCTCAGGTGGCGGTAATGCGCGGCTGCAGCTGTTTACCAACCGGCAAATAAAGTCTTCAAAGAAGAAGAAGCAGGAAAAACAAAAACACGTGTTGGTGCTGAGAGGCCTTGGTGCGTCTTTAGCCGCTTTAATCTGAGATCAGCAGACAGTAGCTTGTTGATCTGGAAGAAGCAATGAAGAAGAAAGCTAACAAAAGGTTTGATTAATTTAACCGACAGCTTTAACTCGTCTGATTTACCTGCTAACACGCTGGCTAATGGCGGATATTCTGAGGTGTCCAAACGCACAGAAAGCCTCAGTGTTGGTGGATGTGAGCTTATGGTGTGTTTAATCTGTGTTGTTTGTGTCTGTAGAGACAGAAAGCTGCAGGCTGAGCAGCCATCGGACTATGCTGTGGGTCAGGTTTCAGGCAGTCTGTCCCAGGAAGGCTCCACAGCATGGGAACCATTGGCAGAGTTATTCAGGCCTGCCTTCCCAGCTTCATCTCAGCTGTTCCTGCCTCCTCCCAGGGTTAGTCACACTTTGTTTCCAGGGCTGACAGCTTTTCACCAAACCGTGGAGGGAGAACCCTGAAAGGCTCTGAGGACAGTAGCAGCTCTAGGGTCAGATCCTGTCCGCATTTTTAGCTTTTTCTGCTTTACTTTGTAAATTAATGAAGATTTTAAGCAATCTACTACTTTAGTAAATATGAATATAATACACAGCAGCTAGCTTAAATGATCATTGTGGAGACTTATCAAGTGTAGGATCACATCAAATTGTCCACTGAATTTAAAAACTTAATTTTGTTCACATCTACCAAAACTAAATATCCAGAGAAATGCTGTCATGGAGAATTTTTATTGAATCTAAAGCTTCCTAGAAGGTCTGAGCGTTTTGCTGTTTTGTCAATTGTAAGAAAAACTAATAAGCTAAAGAGTTAAGGCCTATTACCAAATGTTCATACACAGTGTGGTTTGCATTGCACTGGTTCCTGTATTAGTCCCAGTAATCCAGTCATACCCTATTAGTTACCCATTGTTTATTTTACTTGAACTTTATAGAATAATTAATAAACAAAGTTGTGAAATGATTAGTTTACAGTATATTTATGATGCAAGTATTTTAGTAGGGCCCTTTCTGTTTTACTTCAATTTGCTCAAAATCACCAGAATATAGAAAATAATGTATATTTTGTAGTGCTGTCAAACTATTAACAATTTTAATTTATTAATCGCATATTATCAACAGTTAACTTGAGATTAATCGCATATTTTATCTTTTTATTTTATTTATTTTATTTGGGCATTTAAAAAATGCAATTGTGCAATAATGTAAAAACACATGCTTATACAAAAAGTTTTCTTTATTATCATTATTTTTCAAGCACCTTTAAGAAACTGGAATAAAAATATCCTGGCCAATAATTATTCAAAAATTTTTAAAAATTAGGCGTTATGCTTCCATAAAAACTATATAAAACTACAGAACAGTAAACAGTACTTCAAAGTACTCCGTAAGCTTAAGTTTTTTTTTCTCAAACATAGGACAAAAATAAAGATGTTTTTCTTTTAAAATAAAGTGCACATTCCGTTATGAAATACAGACTTAATTCAAATAAAATAAAGTTACTCGCAAAATAATAAAAAAATCAAACGAAATTACAATAACAGGGCTTTGCAGTCATCTCAGCAACATAACATTTTACATGTAGAACCTTTTCAAAATGCTTAAATATTCCTTTGGTCTGAACAGGAACTGCAGCAGCAGCGCAGTCCACAAAACTTAGTTCATTTCTTTGCCTTGTTGGCACTAAGCCAGTGAGACGCTCGTTTCTTCTGGACAACATAGACAGACGACTCGAGTTTTATCAAGAGAGCCTTCTGGGATAACTTTAAAAAGAAATGTATCATTCAGGATACCTTGTCTGCTGGCCATTTTGCCCATTCAAAGCACGGACCTGTTATGCTGCGGTCCCTCCTGCAAACATTCCTGAAGCTACGGAAAGCGCAGAGGGTAACACAAACAGTACAGAGAGCGCTGCGGAAAACTAAAGAACAAATGCGAACGGTGCGTTTGTTTTGATGCGCGATTAACGTGCATTAAAAAAAATGTCTGTGTTATAGTCTAAAGCAGTTAACGCCTTTGTTGTGATTTTATGTTAAATTCTATTCCCAGCCCGCTGGGAATTTATGTTTCTGATACTTTTAGATGTTTATTGCCCTCCCCTGTAGGGGTGGTGAAATATCTTATTTAATCAGATATTATTTCAGCTGTTATATACTGTTTATGACACCCAGTCCTACTAACTGTGTGTTAGAACAATAGATGAAAGAGTGATTCGAGCACTAATCATGGTCAAACAGTTATTTCTGCACATACATGGAATAAATTCACCACAACTTCTGTTCAAAATATAAGATTTTATTAACAAAAATCATTCAGCTCCACGTCAAACGTATTTCAGTTTAACACTCTCAACTAAGACTAGTAAAACTCAACTAAACTAAACTAACTACTATGTACAAAGAGGAAGGGGAAAACGGTTGAAAAACATATTACTGTTTAAGATGGATTCTGTGTTTGAAACCAAAGTTTATCTGAAGAATTTGATCAAATTAGCTTTTCACTAATTTTAGAGAAATTGGAATGTTTTCAGACCAATTCACAATGCAAATCCATGAGGTGAATAAAACATTATTTGGCCAAATAATGTTCTATTGAATGATTTGCTTAATCAAGAACCAATAACCTTTAGCTAAATGATTCTTTACCCTCTTTGAAATAGCTAGCAGCGAATGGACATCAGGATTCCACTAAATGACTCTTGGTCAGACTTGGTAATCAGAATCAGAATCAAGTTTATTGCCAAGTAGGTTTGCACTTACAAGGAAAGTACAAGGCACTTAATGGAAATGTAACGAGCATTTGAGGAACACATGAACACTAATGTTATATCAGTGTTTAAATCCTTAGTGAATAAAGCTTGTCTAAGCTTTAGCAACAGCTCAACACATATTCCTGTAGCATAGCGTAGCATGCAGTCCATTCTTTAGCATCAGTTAGCGTTGTCTTTACTCCGCAGTAAACACACGATATGATTAGCATCATCAAAAGACACATTACTTGTTCTGTCCCTAATCATGCCAGACCTGCAAACCTTTTTCCATGTCCATTTGGAAAGCTTGAGTTTCATCCAGTTTTGTAGCTCTGCAGTCAGGGACTCATTGTTTGTCTCACAGCAGGGGTCCTCTCAGTCTCACACCAGGGCATGGCTCTCATCCAGTTTGGCTCTAAAAGTTTTGAAACTTAAGAGAGATGTGTGGCAAACGTCTGTTTTTCAGCAGTTTGGTTCTGAAAGGTTCTGCACTGAAAAAAAAATAGAGGTTGACAGAACTTACATTTTCTAGGCAACGTGATGCATTTGGTTTTTTGAGTTTTCCTTACTTAAATTCACTGTGGTTGAGTTTACAAAGATTTTTGAGTTCTGCCAACTTAGGTTTTTGGAGTGTTACATAGAAATTTTGAGTTCTACCAACTTAGGTTTTTGAGTTTCACCTTTAAGTTCTGAGTTCTATCAACTTTGTTTTATGAGTTTGACATATAGATTTTGAGTTCTACAAACTCAGATTTTGTAGTGTTATCTGCAAGTTGAGTTCTATCAACTCAGTTTTTTTAGTCCTACCAATCGTCTTCACTACCAATCATTCAACACACAAAAAATTATGTTAATACAACATTTTTATTGCTTCAAGCCAAACATTGCATCAATAGATACAGTATAAAACCATGTTCAACAACATAATCTTAACTGCACAGATCAAAGTAACCTGACACTGGACCAGAATGTTCTAGATTCGTAAGAGTGATGATGAGGGAAAAAACAGTAAGACACCATTTTAGTAAGAGGAAAACACACAGGTAATTTTTTGTGAAGTAAGTGTATTAACATATATGAAAAAATAACAGTTTTACAAATTTGGACGGCCTTCAGTTTGTTTTTTTTCAATTGTAGTCTCTTTAAATTGGGTGCACCCTTTTAAAAAAAATAAAATGAAATAAAATGTCTTGTTTCCCAACGGAAAAAGAAAAAGGTTTTCCCTTTTTATCTCTGAGTTTTTCTTTTTAGTCCTACCACTCCGACAGGACGATGAATGCAAAAAAAGAAAGTCCTCTTCAGTCCAAATCCTTCTCTTCAGTCCAAATCCAGATGTTCACACGGTTGGCTCGCCATCTCCATTTAAGGAGAGAATCCAGAATCCAGGGTATCCAAAAAACCCTGCCTGCATAGCACAACAGGGCTTAGTTAAATCCATTCACTTCTTGTTCTTAACTGTACAGTTTATATCTCTCCAAGTATGATACATTTCAGTGTGTAATGTAACTTTTCTAACTCATTACGAATTAACTGCTGCATTACAGGGTTAACATATAAAATGTTAATGTCACTGTTTTTCTTGTAAAGCAAATAAAATCATGAAAGCAAAAAATCCACATGTAAATAATGTAAGTAACAGTAAATACCCACATCGGATTAAGAAAGTAAAATAATGTAGTCTTGTAATATTCTGTGCCTGAGTGCAACAACACTGCACTACATAAAACAATTTAGAAATTTAATAAGTTATTACACTCAACTTAATGTCTCTTTTCATTTGTACAATGAAAATAACAGGCACACTCTTTTCTCTATGCATAAACACTCACCCGCACATGCGCGGCATAAACACGCACGCGCACACGCGCATTATACACGTGCACGTGCGCTGCTTTTCCTTTCATCAGAACGTGAAAAACATGTGAACTCATGCTTCAACTCGGTGGCAATACACCACAAGGGAATGCTAACTCACGGAGCTAACCGCTAACTGTCTGTACTTTGCAGCACTCACCGGGAAAACTGGTAAGGTCCCAGGGTCGTTCCTCCGTGGTTCTCCAGATGCATAAAATCACAATGTCCGCCAATCTTCTCAAACACGAGGGAAAAAGGCTGTGCCCTTGAAGAAAGGGATAGGAAACCCCGTACCGTAGTGGGCGTGTCCATGAACATAAGCAGTGCGCATGCCCATGAGTTTACAGTTGAGGGAACTCAAAAAATCTTGTATAGGCGATTTAAAACTCCTTGTTAAACCAACTTCTGAGAATTTGAGTTGGGCAAACGTGTATTTATTTGTTAGATGTCAAATTTATATTTCTGAGTCGGATTACAATACAATTGTGTGTTAGAACAACAATTGCCATTTACTTTTTTAACAGTGTGACTTATCCTTGATGGTTCTGGAGATCTGGTTCCCCTGGGGCCCGCATCTCCACTGTGGTGGATACCCAGCCACAGTGGGCCCCAGATTTGAGCGCAGGGGCAGAAGAGACCAGGAGCAAAAGGAGACAACAGAGAGAGAATCCTGTGTGCTCTGTGGTTTTGTTCTGTCCTCACAGAGGGGGGTGGTGGTTGGTCCCATCTCTGTGACTTGCCTGTGGAGGCCTTGCCTGAAACGGGGGTTGTTGCACAGATTCCACATCATCATGTTACGATGAAATATGGACAGTGGTTCCCAATGTCCTAAAAGTTTGATCATGGCTTATGGCACAACACCTTAATAATGCTTTAAAACTGACAGCCCTAATATTTGGTGAAAACATAACTTCAGATAATTTATCATTCTGTAATCTTTACTGTGCTGTAAAAAAAATCTAAATTTTTGACACTTTTTTTCAGCCAGATCCTCTGAAAACCTCCAACAACCTGGCGTGTCCTCGTGCTTTAGCACTATGACTGTGTTAAAAAAGGCAAACTGGATGTTTATCAGCAAATCTGGGATATAGAGTGAGATTTTGTGAAGACACTGAGATGCAGGAACCTCACGCCCAATGGGGGAGAGTTGACAGACCTGTAGCACCAAGCAGGATGACTGGGTTAGCAAAACAACTTCAGCTTTAACCCTGACTCTACCAGGAAGCTGGGTTCCTTCTTGGTTAGGCTAGTCACCATGGCAACTCATTCCAAAAGGCAAACCTCAGAGGCAGGCTAGAATCCTAGAAAACGCTCCAGCCAGCAGCCAATCAGTTGTTCTGGAAACAATGACGAGTCTGTTCAGTGAAGACCTGATTTAATTCAGAGGGGAAAATAATTTAAAGAAAACGTCATAATAAAATAACTCCATCCATCCATCCATCCATCCATTTTCTTACACACTTAATCCCAAGCCGGGTTGCGAGGGGTGTTGGTGCCTATTTTCAGCCGTCTACGGTCGAGAGGCGGGGTCCACCCTGACAAGTCGCCAGTCCATCACAGGGCAATAAATTAACTTGAAAATCTAAAACCAGCTAAAAGAAAATATGATCTTAACAAATTGAATTGTTTTTCAGTTTATTTCTTTATTAATCCTCCTTTTTGACGTGCCAACCTTTTAGTAAACTGTATTTTTTCCTCCTGCATAATGTCCTTATACATCGCTGGCATTCACTGTTTTCTGAATAATTAACATATGAAGCTAAACTTAAAACAGATCAGAGAGCAAATAGTGAGAAAATCCTTCGGAACACTTTGACAATAAGAGCCATAGAGGTCCCAGGCCAGACTGTTATATACATTCCAGATCCTAGAAGCTTGTGTTGGCCAGGCAACCCGCAGGAACGCCTCCCTCGCTGTATCACAGACTGTATGTTTGGTCATGAAATATTATGCCACAGGCGGCTTCAGGAACACCGTCCAGGATGCTGAGCAGCTGGGGAAAAATACAGTCTCTCAGGATGTCAATCATGCTTCAGTGCCCTGATACCATCAATGAATTCTATTCAGTTTATTTTTATAGCGCTAATACACAACACGTCATCTTAAGGCACTTTACAGAGACGATTCAACTAGATCATCCAGTCAGATCGATTCAAGGTTTTATATCTAAGAAAAACCAGCTGATCACCTCATTGACTCTGCAGCAATCCCTCACACTAAGCATGCTTGTAGTGACAGTGGAGAGGAAAAACTCAGTTTGAACAGGAAGAAACCTCCACCAGAACCAGGCTCAGTGTGAGCGGCCATCTGCTGAGGCCAACTGGGGTTCAAGGAGACAGAAGCAGACATAGAAAAAGAAGCATAGATACAAAAGGCAACTGTCAACCAGCTCCACAGGCGGCCCTGTCCAGGAAACACACAGCCAGGCAGACGAGCTCCGAGCCAGCTCCCATGTCAGAGGATGAAGAGAGCACATCCAGTTAGTCACAGTCAGAGAAACAGGACTACACTGGAAAACAGGCCAAGCTCCAACATCTAGAAACAAAGGTGTTGATGGCAGCAGCACAGCTGATATTTCTCTCCAGGATGGAGTCACAGCCAAACAGGAACAGACCAGATGAAGCTACTATGAGAAAAAGCAGAGAGAGCAGAAGGTTAGAGATTGAACTAACAGATTCTGCAGAGTGGGAGAATCGAGATAGAATAATGAACTAGGGGTCCCTATGTCCTCCAGCAGTCTAAGCCTATAGAAGCAGAACTATAGAGATAGCTCAGGATAACCTGAGCCACTCTAACTATAAGCTTTATCAAAAAGGAAAGTTTTAAGCCTAGCCTTAAAAGTAGACAGGGTGTCTGCCTCACGGACTAAAACTGGTAGTTGGTTCCACAGGAGAGGAGCCTGATAACTAAAAGATCTGCCTCCCATTCTACTTTTAGAAATTCTAGGAACCACTAGTAAACCTGCAGATTGAGAGCGAAGTGCTCTGTTAGGAACATCAGGAACAATCAGATCTCTGATATAAGATGGAGCTTGGCCATTTAAGGCTTTATATGTGAGAAGGAGGATTTTAAATTCTATTCTTGATTTAACAGGAAGCCAATGAAGAGAAGCCAGGATAGGCGAGATATGATCTCTCTTTTTAATTTTCATTAGAACTCTGGCTGCAGCATTTTGGATCAGCTGAAGGCTTTTAACTACAGTTTGTGGACTTCCTGATAGCAAAGAATTACAATAGTCCAGCCTTGAAGTAACAAATGCATGGACTAGTTTCTCAGCATCACCCCTGGACAGGAGATTTCTAATTTTTGCAATGTTCCTCAGATGAAAGAAGGAAATTCTAGAAACCTCTTTGATATGTATTTGATATGTATATTTGTTGCCATTGCAAGGGTAGATGTTACACTAAAGCTGCTCTGATGGGGTATTAATGGTAAACCACCAGGTTAAAAAAATAAAGTTCGGACATGGTGCCAAAATCAGGATTGTATTAATCTGATGTAAATGAGGCTGTCCAGCTTTATTGGAGCACAAACATTATTGAAAGGTCCAACTAACTAGAAAAACAATGTATATATATGTGTTTAAAATGTATCTGCAGTACAGTGATTGGGATGCATGTTAAAAAACGGAAGCACATTTACTCAGCGAGCAATCCATCGCCCCACTATCTGGCATTTCTTTGGTTGCAAAGACCTGAAAGATTTCTTCGTTGACTGTTTATACATTAGGATCATTACCTTTATACTCTAAACTGGTTCAATCTCCTCATTGATTTTGGTTGTTTTTGTAATTTTAATGGCAGGTGATTGGAAGCAGCGCAGGAAGAGCAGAGCAGAGCAAAGACAGCATAGAGGTGGAAGTCAAAGCAAAGAAGAAGAGGAAGAGATCGGTGGCAGAGCAGGAACTGCTGAACAGGTGAGAAGACTAAACGCCACTGCTCACATTCAGCCCATTCTAGGAACCAGTCTGCACAGAGGACCCAGCGCCACACAGGAAACTGGATCAACTCAGCATCTGCTTTTCCTGAAAAAGGAATCTACATCAGCTGCTCATTGGATTCAGCAAACGTCCTCTACACCAAAGCAAAGTGTGACCTGTGCTGTGGTTACTAGCTGACCTCATTCTGGGCTCCTCCTGACATCCACCTAAACTATCGTATAGCTAAGTCTGTCTCATGCTTCTGTGTTTTAGGGAGAGCTGTATATTTAAGGCAGACAGAGACGAGCACGGCCCGGCCAGCTCAGCCAAGAGAAAGAAGAGAGACTCAGAGACAGACGGACAGATTCCTGCAGAACACTGGGCACTGAGGCGACAGAGGTTAAAGGCCAACAAACAAGGGGAGCTGTTAAAGATGAAGAGGACCGTGTTCGTTGGCAACCTGCCCATCAGCTGCACAGCCAAGGTATCGGCAACTTCACTGACCAACCTTTTCCTAAAGCAGCCACAGTCTGAGAGCAGAGGGGAGCCGCATTGCCTCCCATTTAGGAGGATTTCCTGAACAGAAGTTTAAAAGCTGCTTTCTAAAAAAGTAAAAAAAAAACAATCCACTGGACTTTGTTCCCAGTTTGAAGACATTTCTCTTCCCATCCAGGAAGCTTTTTCAATTCAAAATGACAGGAATAGCGTTCACAGAGTTCCAGGTTTTATACAGCAGCCCAGCAAAGCCCAGTTTTAAGTAGAAAACCTGCAAATAGAAACGGACAAACAGTTCAGCCCTTTGCAATGGGGGTCGTTTGGCTTCTTCTTCTGTAATTGCATCACCCCGGACATTCACGGCCGTTCAATTTAAATCTAAATGACTCACATTTTCTTAAAATAAGTTAGTTTTTTCATGAATTAAATGAGGCACTTTGCTGATAGAACAAGATGATTTACATTTAAAATAAGAACAATAATTGCATAATCTTATTTCAAGTAAATATTATCTAATGATCTTATTTTAAGAGTAAAAATACTCATTCCTTTTGGCAGATCCTCTTATTTATTAAAGGTATTTAGGGTAAATAAAGTTATTGTAAGACATTCTTAAACTCATTTTAAGATCATCTTTGCAGTGCAAAATGACCCCCCCCCCCCCAGTAAATATTAATCTGTAGACATGTTTTCATTCTGCTCTATGCATGTTTTTTATTTAGTCTAGTTCCTTCAGTCATCTGCTATCCAGATCCTCACTAAATGACCACGTTTGTTGGTCCTTAGAAGCAATTATCATTTTTTATGCTAAGCTCTGCAGCTCTACAGTTATAGAAGACACTTTATGGGTCACTAAACTAACCATGTTGTTGCATGCGGCCAAGTGTCTGAGGAATTGAAACGTGTTTCATCAAGCTGCTCCTCCTGGTTCCTGCTTTAGGGATGAGACCCGTTATTTCTACAGATCAATCTATATGCTCTACGTCTATACATGCATGCTCCCATCAGCCTGTGCACAGCTACATCCACCCCATTGCCCACAGAGTTGACCTTTCTGCTTGGTGCCCTGTTCAGGTCAGTCCTGAACAGGTGGGCTCAGGCTCATACCCAGTCTATTCAGTTTATTTCTATAGCGCCAATTCACAACACGTGTCACTCAAGGCACTTTCCAGTTCAACCAGATCATGCAGTCAGATTGATTGAAAGTTTTCTATCTAAGGAAAACCAGCTGATTGCATCGACTCATTGACTCTCAGTGTAAGCAGCCATCAGCTGAGGCTGACTGGGCTCCAAGGAGACAGAAGGAAACTTGCTTAACCTCTTAACATCCACCTCATTTTGGGTAATTCTCGCCTATTTTGCATACCAAAATGAAAAAGCAAATAACTTAGAAACTGTAAGCCCAAATTACATGTGCATTTGAAAGCTAACACCCTCTAGTTTCCTAATATGTGAATTAAAATTGGGTGACTATAACACAGACCAACCTGCATCAGTTCAAACATGAATCAAAGCTGGGTTTTCTATTCTCGGAAATGATCTTTTTTAAACAGCAGTAATAAAGACATTCTTTTTATTGTATTATATTTGTTCAAGCCTAGTTGTTCCTTTCATATAGGCTTGTGCTGAGATGCAGGGGAAACTAAATGTGATGGGGCACGTTTCAGGTGTTTAGATGTGTGGCGCCGCCTGCTGTCTGTTAGTCAGAATGACAGTTCTCCATGCATCACGGGACTATTGGCAGAAACTTACTGCGGCGTGTGAAGAATTGTCTCGTACGTGAGGAGAGGGTGTTTCCTATGCGATGAGAGATCGTTTTGTACTTGGGGACAATTTACTAATTATATTTTCAGTGCAACGTTAGAGTCCAGTTTGTAAAACAAATTTTTGTGTGTGTGCAACATTTAAGGACAGTTTTATTTGTGTGGGACATTAGATGAGAGTTTGTAACACGTTTTATTTGTGAACAGTAAGATTAATTTGTTGTTTATTTGTGAGTGATAAGATCTGTTTGTGTGAAACATGCTTTAACACGCTCTATGCGTTTGCAACGGGCTCTATGCGTTTGCAACACGCTCTCTGCGTTTGCAACAGGCTCTATGCGTTTGCAACAGGCTCTATGCGTTTGCAACAGGCTCTATGCGTTTGCAACGGGCTCTATGGGTTTGCAACGGGCTCTATGGGTTTGCAACGGGCTCTATGGGTTTGCAACGGGCTCTATGGGTTTGCAACGGGCTCTATGGGTTTGCAACGGGCTCTATGCGTTTGCAACGGGCTCTATGCGTTTGCAACGGGCTCTATGGGTTTGCAACGGGCTCTATGGGTTTGCAACGGGCTCTATGCGTTTGCAACGGGCTCTATGGGTTTGCAACGGGCTCTATGGGTTTGCAACGGGCTCTATGGGTTTGCAACGGGCTCTATGGGTTTGCAACGGGCTCTATGGGTTTGCAACGGGCTCTATGGGTTTGCAACGGGCTCTATGGGTTTGCAACGGGCTCTATGCGTTTGCAACGGGCTCTATGGGTTTGCAACGGGCTCTATGGGTTTGCAACGGGCTCTATGCGTTTGCAACGGGCTCTATGCGTTTGCAACGGGCTCTATGCGTTTGCAACGGGCTCTATGCGTTTGCAACGGGCTCTATGGGTTTGCAACGGGCTCTATGGGTTTGCAACGGGCTCTATGGGTTTGCAACGGGCTCTATGGGTTTGCAACGGGCTCTATGGGTTTGCAACGGGCTCTATGCGTTTGCAACGGGCTCTATGCGTTTGCAACGGGCTCTATGGGTTTGCAACGGGCTCTATGCGTTTGCAACGGGCTCTATGGGTTTGCAACGGGCTCTATGGGTTTGCAACGGGCTCTATGGGTTTGCAACGGGCTCTATGGGTTTGCAACGGGCTCTATGGGTTTGCAACGGGCTCTATGGGTTTGCAACGGGCTCTATGCGTTTGCAACAGGCTCTATGGGTTTGCAACGGGCTCTATGGGTTTGCAACGGGCTCTATGGGTTTGCAACGGGCTCTATGGGTTTGCAACGGGCTCTATGGGTTTGCAACGGGCTCTATGGGTTTGCAACGGGCTCTATGGGTTTGCAACGGGCTCTATGGGTTTGCAACGGGCTCTATGGGTTTGCAACGGGCTCTATGCGTTTGCAACACGCTCTCTGCGAATCCCGTGGGATTCCCGAAAAAATGTCAGTGTACTGCGTTCACACCCCTGGCATTTTGAGCGACGCTGGATCAAACTGTGGTCCAGATGCTCTGACGCTCTGGTTGTTTATCTGCTCTGTTCTGTAGCTTCAAGCTAGAGAGCAGCTTGGCTTTATTTACTTTATGAGTTGGAAAAATAGTTTTTAAGTGAGAAAGTCCACCTCCAAACACCTTCTGTTCATCAGTTCAACAGGATTATAATCCCACTATAATCTGCAGTTCTTGTTGGGAGCTTCAGACCTCCAGCATACCACCGGGAGGCAGCGCTGGGAATCCCCACTGAAAGCTCTCTGCTAAGGTCAGCCTGAGGGGGATTTCCTGCAGACATTTGTAGGGGTTTATTTTTTGGAGTTTAAATCCTTGATAGTTATTTATTGTTTATCTGCAGAATGTCTGCAGGAGTGATGACAGCTTGCAGGTAGAGTCTGTCTCCCCTCCAAAATTCCTGTTGTGATTGGTTGACGGCCAGCACGCACAGCGGCTGAAGTTCAATTAACTGAACGCTCGCAACAGAATGCTCGCAGCGCACCGCTGCACCTCTTGATTCTGTCCCCCATAGACTATGCATGTAAATGAGATGCTTTGACATCATTCATGATAACGACCTGCAGTTCTTTTGGAATGGGTTGATGAAGTCATCTAATCGGTCTGATTGCACTTCATTAATTATGGTTTATAGCCCACAGAGCAGAGAACTCTATTGTCTTTGGTGTTTTCCATTATTTATTTTTATTCTTCTCGGCTCGGAACGAATCGATTGAACCAAGTATCCAGGTTCACAATGTGCACCGCTACTCAGACCCAGATATTCAGACCCATTAACTACTAGGGGGCGCTATGACAAAGGGAAATGCATTTTGTCCTGTAATGACCAAACTACTGGTTTGACACACTGAACATATCACTTTGTTTATTGGTTGATTTGCATCATTAAGTTAATGGGCACACCTTTGTTTCGGAGCTGCTTTTCACACTAAAATGGTTTAACCTTTCCTGTTAAAGGATTCTTGTTACGGAATGACTTTCTTGTTTAAAATCTTACATTTTTTTGTTCAATCTGCACAAAATTCCATATAAAACTTTGTAATAGACAATTAAAAAAGTAATGGTGGATTTTTTTAATTTTGACTTCAATAAGTTCTGCAAAAATAAGTGCTTGTTGGCTAGCTCTAAATTCTAAAACCATATCAGATTTTAAAAGGTGCCTCATAACCCGTACTCCAAATTAGATTTTGCACACGTCCCCCACGTTAGAGCATGGTCCACCAATAGGAGGCGCTGTGATGTCAAGAAAGCTACTACACAGAAATGGCTCATTGTTTCTTTATGGAAACTACCTTATTACCTTCCAGTTATAGCAATGAACTAAAGGATTTAATATGGTAATGAGTGAAATAAGTGGGCGGGGCCTATTTGCAAAAGTCTGAAAGTTCCTTTATGTGGTTCACAAAACTATAAAAATTCCCTAAAATAAAGGGTTTGGTGTTATGAGCTCCGATTTTCAGGATAAATTGCTTTGATAGGGTTGAAAGATTTTTCCATTGTAAAATGGAGAAATCTTTGCACCTCCGCAAATATTGTTCAAACGTAATAAGAATTGGCACAATTCTGAAGCACATGGAGGCTAAAGATGAGTTTCAGTTAGGTATAAACCCATGTAGTTTTGAGCTTTTTACAAGACATTAAAATGTACTCCGATCCCAGGTCTAGTTCTAGTTTTTGATTGTTTTCTCTGTTCCGAATGAACCTGCAGTAAAGTACACTGCAGAAAATAAGCCACTGGAGGCTTCCTGTCCTGCTTTGTGGAGCAGTTGAAATGTGACCTTTTTCTTTTTTCAGACCTTGCGAGGACTTTTCAGAGACAAAGGACCCATTGAATCTGTTCGGTTTCGCTCTGTGGTAAAAACAAAAAACACCAGAATAAAGAAAGTTGAGTCACACCTGTGATGTTGTGTCAAACTGAACGCCTTTACTGTTTCTCCCTGCAGGTCAGAGAGGACCCGTCCATGTCTCAGAAAGAAGCGTTTATTAAGTAGGTTTCTGATCAAACTTTGCTCCTTTTAATGCATAGACATACCTGTCCTCCACTGTCTAAAAACATCTATATAGAATATAAAGCTGCTTTGTGGTTTTTGTAAAATTGTAAAAATGTGATTGTTGCAGTAGTAGCTGCATGATAAACAGGAAATAAATGGCATGCTGTGGGAATGGGATGGTGCAAACTGCTGGACAGTTCTCTGATGCTTTCTGCAGACTGTCACCTTAAGGTGCAGCAAAGTCAAACCAAACTCCATCAGTGCCATATCTTTTTTATTTGACATCTTTAAAGCATCTTCTCTGTGTTGAATTGATGCCTTTAATCACTGCATGGCTGAGTCCCGTGAAGATAAAGGAAATAGTTTTTAACGTGCATTAAGGATGCCTTACTTTTTTATTCAGTTGGAAAACGCTGAAATGTTTGTTTGCTTTGCTTTGATGTTTCCATAACTTGTAGATGTTTGTATCTGTGAGCAGGAAGGATCTTCTCTTTTATTTAACCGGGGAGGTTTTCTGTAGTAATACAAACATCTGTTCATAGAAAGACTCACTGTCTTCTCAACTTCTCTGTCTGACTTCCTGTGCCATTGTACTTCCTTTCAATTTGCCCCTCATAAAAAGGTAAAAAAATAAAGAGAAGTTGAAACATTTAACAACCTTTTCTTTGATCTTTAGACGCAAAGTTCATCCCAAGAAGCAAAGCTTGAATGCGTATGTGGTGTTTAAAGATGAGGAGGCAGTCTGCAGAGCTCTGGAGAGGTGAGCTAATTCACTGCAGCCTGAAGCTAGAGTGATGATGAATCTGAAGTGAGAACTCATTGGCTCCATCTTCACAGGAACGGCGTGGAGATCGAGGAAGGCTTTCATATCAGGGTGGACCGAGTGACGCAGCGCTCTTCAGTAAGTCTGCTCAGCATTCGCAGGTCTCCTTCATTTAATGCTGATGGTTTAATCAACGTCTCTCCTCCTGCAGCATGACCACAAGCGCTCCATTTTTGTTGGGAATCTGGCATTCGGTAAGTTGGTGACTCCACTGTGGTGATGAGGAGCTGTGATGCACATATTCATGGGTTGCCTCTCTGTAGATCTGAAGGAGCTGGCGCTCCGACAGCATTTTGAGCCATGTGGAACAGTGGAGGCGGTGAGACTAGTGCGAGACGCCAAGTCTGGACTCGGGAAAGGATTCGGCTATGTCCTGTTTGAGGTGCACAGCAGCACCCAGCATACACCACTATTACCTCACACATGCAGTATTTGGCCTTTCGGAAAAATTTTTGTTTCAAAGCTTTTCTGTTTATGTCATTTCGCCAGACCATGTACATTTTGAGGTTATTTTGACTTCAGGCGGCCATAAAAAAAAAAAAAAAAACAATTGCACCATATTTGTTCTTCCTAGTTTGATAGAAAACATCCAGAGCTTCAAAAAAAGTCCACATTTTCACGTGTCAGCCCATAATTCTTTGATTTATAGCCTCTCAAAGTTGAAAAGAACTTATTTTTTCCATTAGTGTTGGATCAAAGCTAACATCTCACATTGGTTTAGATTTATCCCTTAAATAATTGTCTTGCCTTCTTATAAATTGAAATAGTCACCTCAATTTGAGTTATGAAACATTTGAGGTGCATCAACCATTTCATTACTCTGCCTCTTACTTTAGGAAAAAACTAATTGTGGCCTAACTGCAATCCTCTATTTGCCAAAGACTTGATGTATTTTTCAAATCTATTGTGTCACGCACATTACCCAAGTCGTTTTACAGTGTAGCCCCTAAATTATCCTTGTATGTTATGTTATTTCAGGCAGTGGGAGACATGTGTGGCAAGTAATTTAAAACCCTTTGAATATTTTTAAGGCAAATATTTTTCAACTTTAGAGCTGATGGTGTGTAAGAATTGTTAAAAAGTGTTTTGTTTGTTTTGTTTTTTCAAGGGACTGTGAGCTCCCAAATTGGCCACAGATTGGTGGTAAAATGGTTAAAAACAATATGCCAGAGTGTTCAGTGCACGTCCATACCGTTGGAAGATTGGAAGGCTAAACGTGTAACGTGCACGATGTTAAACGCTATTAAAAAAACGTCACTTTGAGGCCTGACCGTAATAATGGTATGTGCTACCAGGCAGAGGATGTTTTTTTTTAATAAGGACACATGCTGGAGATTTAATTCATTGATGATTATTATAAACATGGGTAGTTTTAATGGAATAACTTTAAAGTTATGCTTATGTTTCAGAAATTGTTGGAAAATACAAGGTTTGGAAATATTTAATGTACCATATCTTGAAAAGTAGTCATGTTTTGGCTACAATTTTTGTACACAGAGACTCATATGGTGCTAATTTAGACAATAAGGGAATAATAGGATGCATATTGTGGTTGTACAGTGCATTGAAACATTTACAGTCACGCGTATTAGGCTTTTTTTATAAGGTTTTCTGTTTCCAACACTGACAAAACTGACCTGTTAGGAGTTCAATGAATGTTTACATATAGCCAAGGTGTATGGCTACAAATGACATGTTATCATTCATATATTTATTTATTATATTCTGTTATAAAGTAATATGGAGTTTTCCATTTGGACCCCCACAAATGTCCATGGGCTGGCAGAATCATCCGTATGAATTGTTGAAGATGAATAATAGATGGTGTATTTTCTCCCTGATGCAGAGTGCTGACTCGGTACAGTTGGCTCTATCACTGGACGGCTCGCAGCTGGAAAGCAGGTCTATTCGTGTGAAGAGATCCGTGAAAAAGGAGGAGCAGAAGAAAACTAAAGATGGAGGAATGTTGTGGAGCTCCAGTCAGAAAGCTTCTGGACGGCCGCAGGAACACGGCAAAGGGAACTTCAAGTCCAAACCAAACAACTGTTCCTCTTTTAAAGGAGAAGTGGCAGATCCAAGGAAAAAAACCAAGAAGGCTCTGAAAGGAAAAAAAAAGAAAAAAAAGAGACATCTAGTCTCTAAGAAATGATAAACTGACCAAAATAAAATGTAAATTTTATTCAGTTTCACCTTAAACTGTCTGTTTGCTCCTTTAAGACCAGTCAGCTAGAAAATGTTTATGAAATCATCATTTTTTGATGTTTAATCGATTGTAAGACCGGAATAAAAACATTTTGATGAAATGCATGCTTGTGATTTATGGAGTCAATTAAAAATGGAACCTTTTTAATAATTCATCTAAGTTTATTTCTATAGCGCACCTGTCATCACATCACGTCATCTCAAGGCAGATCATACAAAGTTGATTCAAAGTTTTCCATCTAAGGAAAACCAGTTGATTGCATCGACTCATTGACTCTTCAGCAATCCCTCACACTAAGCATGCTTGTAGTGACAGTGGAGAGGAAAAACTCCCTTTTAACAGGAAGAAACCTCCAGCAGAACCAGGCTCAGTGTGAGCGGCCATCTGCTGAGGCCGACTGGGGTTCAAGGAGACAGAAGAAGACATAGAAAAAGAAGCAGAGAAGAGAGAGCAGAACATTAGACTGCTGAAGGACATAGGGACCCCTTTTTCATCATTCTCCCACTCTGCAGAATATGTTAGTTCAATCTTTAAGCCTATAGCAGCATAACTATAGGGATAGCTCAGGATAACCTGAGCCACTCTATCAGCTTTATCACTCCAGATCCACCTGTTGCTAAAACTAGCATCATCTGTGGTTCCAATACACCAGTTCTCTGTTGTAAACACCCTGGCAGATCACATCAGCTAATCAGCCATGGAAAAAGGTCAGGGAGGCTTTGCTTTAAACCAGTAGTGATGAATAATTGGTGGACACGTGTTTTAATAGGTTAACTCAAAAACGGTTGATCTGATTCCGAACCAGACCAAATTATCTCCACCTGCCAAAAGCAATTTTTACCTTCAAAATTAAAATTGGGTATCCGAGCTGGCAGTGATCCTCAATGGGTGCTCTTAGTCACTGTAGATGGCAGTATACACACTTTTACTATGGCATTTTGGCTGGACAGTAAAATAATGGAATGCAGTTTGTAAAGTTAAGCAAGTGTCAGCAAGCTAATTATTTTCCAAACTAAACACATATATTGTTAAATAAATATTTAGCTCCAAACTAAATATGTAGTTTGGAACTTTGATTTTTACAAATGAATAAATGACAGTGAAAAAATGACTAACAAAGAAATAAACACCTTATTTTTCACTTAAAAAAAACACTAAATAACCATCAATATTGCTCCTTATTTTTACTGCTTCACTTTACAAATGATACACCATAAGAAATACTTTCATGCATATTTTTTCACTAAAGAAAACTTGGAGGTTTAATACAAAACTAGGCCTTTTTTGTTGCTGTTTTACACGTATATTTGTTTGATAAAAACTCATAAAAACTTGAAAAAAACCCCTAATCCATCAACAAAATGTCATATTCAGTTGGAAGAGTTTTTTTTAACCCTGAACTTAATAAAATGCTCTTCAAGTACAGTCGATGAAGCATTTTATGTTTAATGTATAACATGTTCTACTGTTTCATTCTTCCCACAGCAGCCAATATTCCATGTATTAATCTTTGCATCATTAAAAGCATAAAATCAGGTTGTTGAAGTCAAAATCTTAGTCTTCTTGGGCATGCAGGTGGGGCAGTGGTTAGTGCACATGACCCATGTACGGAAGCCTTAGTCCTCGAAGTGACCGACCCGGGTTTGAATCTGACCTGTCAACCTTTGCTGCGTGTCTCTCCTGTCAAAGCCCAGCCACTTGTGCTGTAAATACTTAAAAAAGAAAAATCTTAATCCTGTCCTGTTTCGCTTTAACCATTTTTAGAGTGGTAATTAACCTTCTCTTTGATATTCTCTTTGAAGTTCTTCCTCTAGTTAGCTGGATCGTATCAACTCATTGTTTGACACTTGAGTGAAAAGTTACCTGTTCCTTCACATCATACTTCAGCCTGCCAAACACAATAATGGTGAACCTCTGCTCTGCTGTCACCATCTGGAACACTGTAGGGACAGAAGCACTCTGCATTGTATCATCACCGTACTTTTCTTCAGGGACTGTACTTTCAGGACTTGTGGTCAACCAAGAAAGCAGCAGACTGGCCTCCCCCCTGCAGGATGCTGTGGTCAATTAGGAATAAAACCTTGCACCACAAAACAGCCTTCTTGTCTGCAGCGAGCCTCATTAACAAGGCCGTGCTCCACTACAGCCACTTTAATCTCACCCCATGTAAAAACGATTCACTTCGTTGTTGTATATTTTTACACTTCGCATTGTACAAAAAGCGTTTTTATATTCTTAGAACATTCTGATTGTGACTCTCTTCACGTTTGTTTGTCTGTATTTTGTATTTTGTAAAGTTGTTTACAAAGCTGAGCCACTGCTATGACTTATGTTGTGTTTAAGTATCTAGATTTTTTTCACATTTGTTAGTGAACAAAAAGAAAAAAAACAACAACAGAAAATGAAACAGAACGGCTGCAGTAATGCGTCAGAAGGGTTGTAATCAGACCCTAACATGGAGGCACATCCATGAATCCATGAGGCACTAGAAAAATCCTTCCTGTTATTTCTGGTTAAACTAGACCCAGTTTTTATTCACAGTACCTTTTTTCTTAAATAAAGATTCAAAACTGAATTTATGCAGCAAGGTGTTTGTGTATTAACTTTGTTAGAAGTTGAGGATACGCTGATGGATTTATTTCAGTTGTTACTGAAAGTAATCAAGAGCTTAAAACAGAATAATTTACACTAGTTGGTGGGGACATGTCCACACCAGGCCAAAGATGGTGGGAACATGTCCACACCAGGCCAAATATGGTGGGAACATGTCCACACCAGGTCAAAGATGGTGGGAACATGTCCACACCAGGTCAAAGTTGGTGGGGACATGTCCACACCAGGCCAAAGATGGTGGGAACATGTCCACACCAGGTCAAAGTTGGTGGGGACATGTCCACACCAGGCCAAAGTTGGTGGGGACATGTCCACACCAGGCCAAAGTTGGTGGGGACATGTCCACACCAGGCCAAAGATGGTGGGAACATGTCCACACCAGGTCAAAGTTGGTGGGGACATGTCCACATCAGGCCAAAGATGGTGGGAACATGTCCACACCAGGTCAAAGTTGATGGGGACATGTCCACATCAGGCCAAAGATGGTGGGAACATGTCCACATCAGGCCAAAGATGGTGGGAACATGTCCACACCAGGTCAAAGTTGATGGGGACATGTCCACATCAGGCCAAAGATGGTGGGAACATGTCCACACCAGGCCAAAGATGGTGGGAACATGTCAACACCAGGTCAAAGTTGATGGGGACATGTCCACATCAGGCCAAAGATGGTGGGAACATGTCCACACCAGGTCAAAGTTGATGGGGACATGTCCACATCAGGCCAAAGATGGTGGGAACATGTCCGCACCAGGCCAAAGATGGTGGGAACATGTCAACACCAGGTCAAAGATGGTGGGAACATGTCAACACCAGGTCAAAGTTGATGGGGACATGTCCACATCAGGCCAAAGATGGTGGGAACATGTCCGCACCAGGCCAAAGATGGTGGGAACATGTCAACACCAGGCCAAAGATGGTGGGAACATGTCCACACCAGGCCAAAGATGGTGGGAACATGTCAACACCAGGTCAAAGTTGATGGGAACATGTCCACACCAGGCCAAAGATGGTGGGAACATGTCCACACCAGGCCAAAGTTGATGGGAACATGTCCACACCAGGCCAAAGATGGTGGGAACATGTCAACACCAGGTCAAAGTTGGTGGGAACATGTCCACACCAGGCCAAAGTTGGGGACATGTCCACACCAGTCCTTCAGAAAGTTACGCCTGTGGCACTGAGGAATCACCTCCTCCTCTTGATAGAACTGCAAATGTTTAATAATGTCTTTACATTAGTTTTTAACTCTTTCATTCTGAGGTTTTTGAAGAACTCCATGAGACAGGTTCTACTAAAGTAGGATCTGAGAGTAAGAAGTTGAATTTAAAGTGAGCGGACAAAAAAAAATTAATTGAAATGAAATTCAATGAACTATTTTTGTTCGCTCACTTTAAATTCAAACTTTTGATTGGGCTGGAAGTTGGTTGAAAAACTTCAGTTCTGCTGATATTCTTTTATGTATTGATGATGGTGGCATTCTTTCTTTAAAATACAATAATCACAGAAACCTCAATCCATCAGATGGTGAAAAGAGGATTTTACTGCACAGCTTGTCTGAATTCCCATCAGCTCTCTCAGAGTGAAATATAATGTACACTGACATGATCTTTGTGGTTAACATTTCAACCATGATTTGAAGTATTGATTTCAAAGATAACACTGCAGGAAGCTGAAGTGTTACTAATGGCTAGTAGGAGGGCAAAAGATTGAAGACGCTCTTTTGTTCCCACCCCCATTTCTGCTGATCTTTCTCCTTGCATAGAAATCTTCAAATCAATCCTAATGTGTTTGGAATAGCCTAAGTAGTGCCATTTGTTCTGCTATGTCTTTCAGATTCTTTTGTTATAGCCTGTTATATTACAATCATGCCACTATTGCTATGTATGCATATTTCTGTCTACTCCTTCACAGGCATCTTGTAAGGACATGACTTTTAAGTAATAAACAGATGAGTAGCCTGTATATTTCATGTGCATTTTGTTATATAAAAAAACAACCTTGAAAGTTAAAGTTTATATTTAGATTAAGAAGGATTAAAAAAGTTGGGATGGATCTCATGGAAACAAATGCTTACAGTCATTACCCTACAGCGTAGAAGTTTCCAATTTCAGTCTTCAAGAAGTAGTATACTTATTGGCAAAATAAATATAAAATAAATTATTATTTAAAGGTTTCACAGTGCACATTCAACACTAACACTGGAATCAGCCCTGTTGGAGCATGGGCAATCTACAATAAGCAGGACTGGTGTTGGACACCCCTGGTCGAGGATAAACTTCTCTCATAAGGGTCTGTTATTACTGTATAACATTATATTTCTGACAACGGTTTACTTATGCAATGAACCAGAAGGTCATGGAGACATAGGAGTTCTGTTAAAGCTAAAATGGGCACAGGTGTGGAATCTTATTACTGTAATATTTGCCTCCATCTAC